GGAAAAGGTTAGTGAAAATAGCAGCACAACTGGAAGAATGTAATCGATGTCACTGAATTGTACATGTAGAAACTTTTGAAATGGTGTAACTTTGGCTATGTATATTTTCACCAAAAGAAAGGTCCTCCAAGGTTGAGAAGGGAGAGTGTTGACATGTCGTCGGGTTGTTAACCAATGTCATAAAACAGTATGTATACTGACTATTTAATGAGAAACTATTCCGTAAACCTTCATCTAAAGTACAATTAAAAAAATAAAGAGATCTTTGCATCACATTTGCCCAAAAAAAAAATTACAGCCTAGGAAGCTCTATGGGGCGGGGCAGTTCTATCCTGTCCTGTAGGGTCTCTGTGAGTCAGAATTAACTCCACAACAACATTTTAAGGGCTCAGAAACTTTACTTCCTTTTTTTTTTGGGCTGTGTTCTAGGAATTGGATATAAATGGAAATCACATTTAAAAAAATTACACATACATAATCTAGTGTATGTTCTTGTGGTCATTTACAACTGTATGAAAAAGTGATTTGAAACCCAAAAAGAAAAAGTAAGTTAATTTAGTTGCAAGTCTCCTTTGCACCAGACAGTTTCACACATCTCACCTAATTTCAACAACTTATGAGTTAGGCATTATTCCCATTTTACAGGTATAAGAAAACTGAAATCCAGAGAAATCAAATGGTTTCTGCATCTAATAAATGGCAGAGCCAGGGGTGTGCAGTTGAAAAGATCCTCTTACACCATATTATCTCTCTCCAGCTCCCCAGAGATAGCCAGTTACCAGTTACTGTGTGTCTTTCCAATCCTCTTTTTTTAAATGCATTTCTTACTTGCAAATATACCCATAGAAAATACATAGCATTTATCTAGTTTTTTTAAGGTAGATGCTGAGGAGTACAAATGCTATGTCATAGAATATACCCACTTAAATTTTTAGTAGATGCTGCTTGTTCTTAGAGTCTCTTTGGGTAGTTCTCCCCCGAAACCTGATGGTATTTGTGTTAGGATCCCCTTGTCTAGGAGCTTCTCAGCACAGGGACCCCAGATCCAAAGAACACCGCTCCTGGCTCTTCTTGGTTGGTGGTAATGAGGGTCCTCTCCTCTCTGCTCACTTCTCCCTTTTATATCTCAAAAGAAATTGACTCAAGATACAACCTCATCCTGTAAATTGTGTCCTGCCTCATTAACAAAACTGCCTCTAATCCTGCCTTCATTAACATCATAAAACTTTAAAACTCGTTGCCTTCCAGTCGATTCTGGCTTGTAGTGACCCTATAGGACAGAGAAACACTGCCCCATAAGGTTTCCAAGGAGTAACTGGTGGATTTGAACTGCCAACCTTTTGGTTAGCAGCCATGCTCTTAACCACTGCGCCACCAGGGCTCCCATTATTGGTTAGGATTTATAACACATAGGATAATTACATCAGACTACAAAATGGAGGGCAACTACACAATACTGGGAATCATGCCCTAGCACAGTTGACACACATTTCAATTCAATCCATAAGAGGTATATTAATTATTTTTTTATCCAGCCACTGTATTAGATTATCTGACTGCTTTTAATAGTTTTTCATTTGATTCTCTTGGGTTTTCAGGTAAAAAGAAATCATATTATCTGTAAATAATGATAGTTCTTTTTCCTCCTTTCCAATTTTTATATCTCTTATTATTACTTCCTCTTTTCTAATTCCATTGGCTAGTATATCCAGAAAAAAATGGTTAATAATAAGGGAGGTCCTTGACTTGTTCTTGGAGCCCTGGTGACACAATAGTTAAGAGCTATGTCTGCTAACCAAAAGGTCAGCAGTTGGAATCCACCAGCTGCTCCTTGGAAACCCTATGGGGCAGTTCTCTGTCCTACAGGGTTGCTATGAGTCAGAATTGACTCCCTGGCAGCAGGTTTTTAGGTTGGCTTGTTCTTGGCTTTCATGAGAATGCTTGTAGTGATTCTCCTGCTTTAGAGCTGAGTTCAAGACATTTTATTGTGTTAAGGGTGAACCCATCTAGGTGAGTTTATCAAGAATCAAACTTATGTGTTAGGAATTTAATTAACTTTTTTTGTTTGTTTGTTTGTTCCAAATCACTTTTTCATAGGGTTGTAAATGACCATGAAAACATACACTGGATTATGTATAATATTTTTTAAATGTAACTGATTTCAATTTATCTTCAATTCCTAGAACATGTTCTAGAAATTAGTGGCCGAAATCTAACCTGATTTTGTTTCATACGTATAGCAAGTTTTCCCAGTGCCACGTATTAGTCTGTTCTTTCTCACTCTTAAAATGCCACCTTCGTAATACACCAAATTTTAATTTATGTGTCAGTTTGTTTCTGGACTCTTTCTTTTCCATTGATATCTTTTTTATTATTTCTGCCCCAGTTCCACCCTGTTTTAAATAATTAAATGAGCTGTATTTCTAAAATTTTATTGTAGGTGAAAAAGAGTCTCAAGTGGACATGCAAAGCTTGTGGTGAGAAGCAGTCCTTTTTGCGGGTGAGTTCTGAGAAACAGGGCGCCTAATACCCAGTGCAGACAGCAGGCGAGACCCAGTGCCGCAGAAGGTGTTTCTCATGGAGTCCCTGTATTCCACAAGTGGGTCATTTCTTCTTACACAAAGTTCACTAGACACGGAGCTCTTGCTGCCTAGGTTTCTGTTCCTTCGGAAAGTGAAATGACAGAGCAGAGTCTGAACAGGTGCCTTCATTTGTTTGTTCACTCAGCAAGTATGTGTTGAGTACTGTCTAGGAGCCTGGCACAGGGGAAACCTTGGCCGTGAAAGTTGTCGTTCTTGCCCTCACAGATCTGCTGTTACGGGAGGAGAAGAGAAACTAACACACATGCCTGCATGTATATAATTTAAAACCAGACTGAGCGCAATGAAGCAAACGTGCAGGGGGCTGTCAGAAGACAACGGGATCTGATCCATGGGGGGTAGGGAGAGGGTTGGTGGTGATGCGAGTGTGGGAGTGAGGTCAGGAGGCAGAGGCAGTCGGGAGGGACACAGGGAGTCTGCAGATTTGAGGAGCACGTTGTAAATGCTTTTCTTTGCCTGCTTTTCTCACCTCACCTCGTGGACATCTCTTCAAGCCCATCCATGCTCACCTCCCTGACATTCTCGATACCACAAACTGCCCCACGTCCTTTGCTTTATCAGACTGCTCAGTCACATGAGCCATCACTTGTGTCCTCTCCAAGTCATCTCATCATTGCCCTCGTCCTTCAGCCACAGTTGCTTTCTTTCTGACCTTGGAACAATCCAGATCTGCTCCCCCACGGGGCCTTTGTGCTTTTTGTTGGGGCTTTGCGTGGCTCTTCTCATTCTCCTAGTCGGATGTGGATTACTGAGTTTCTATGAACACTGTCCCTCTCTCTCAGTTAGACTAAGTTTCATGAGGGCAGAGGCATGGCCTGGTTTGTTTGCTGATGTATCCTTAGCAACTAGCACAGCGCCTGGCACATAGTAAGTGCTCAGTCATTATTTGTTGAATAAATAGTCATTCCCCCATTGGTGGCATTTAGTTTGTTTTTAGTTTTCACTGTTAGAAACAGCTCTGCAATGAAGCTTCTTATAAATACCTCTTTGTTCACGTAACCAGTTATTTCCTTAGGATAAATTCTCAAAAGTTAAATTGTTGTGTTAGAGAATAGCTTTCCATCAAGGTTCTTTTAGTTTCAAATAATAGAGAGAGGGGAAAAAAAACACTTGAGAATGGCATCAGCAAAGTAAAAATATGTACTGGCAGAGTACTGGGGCATGTTAGGGCATCCAAAGGAGGAACTTTGTCCCTGACCCCTTAGAGGACTGGCTTTAAGATCTGGGAAGGCACTACCTTTTCCCCCACCTGCCCCCCCCCCAATTTCTCCCTACGTTTTCTTCCTGTTTCTTCCCTTCTTTCCTTCCCTTCCTCTTTCTTCCCAGACAGTTCACAGTTACATGCTCTGCTCACAGTTCGTAAAATCTCATTTCAAACCAACTAGAATAGCTAAGTCCCACTTATGAACTCTTAGAAGAAGTGATCTGACTGACCCAGGCTGACTCAGTCTGCCTTGTGTCCAGTCCACTGGGGTGGGGTAGAAGCAAGGGCAGTCAGACATCAGTCAAAAGCATCACTGCTGAGGCCCGCCCTGAGATTGGGCCTCTAAAGACAGGGGACTGACTGATCAGGTAGGCAGGCACCCCACTTAGTGACTACTGCTTAGGGTGTGCATAGCTTTGATGTCAGTATGTCTTTCCAGATCTCCTTAAGGATGGCATCACCTTCCTCTCATTTCCCCCATCTGTGTGCAGCAGTATATGCCTTACGGTTGACTAGGCTGCAGTAACAAATACACAACAACACTATAGTGCCTAACCCAGCATTAGTTTTATCTCTTGCTCTTATAGTGGTCCTGGGAGGCTGTCCATACTTGGGGTGGTCATTTGGGGACCCAGGCTCCTGCAGTCTGGAGGTCCTGTTATCCCTGAGGCTTGTCTCCATCTGCTTCCGCCACTGAAGGGGCAAGAGCATGGAGGAGCATGCCTGAAGGGCTTCCAGGGGCTAGGCCTGGCCAGAGCTTACATTCCATTGGAAAGAACCTAGTCTCACGGCCACCCCTGACCACAAGGAAGCCTGGGAAATGTCGGCTAGTTGGTGCCCAAATCAGGGGAGAATGAGCCGTAGTGTCCAGCCAGCAGCCCTCTCCGTACAGGGGGAGCACCCCCAACACCAGGTGCCATCCTTGGCTGAGAGCCTTTGAGGGCTTGCCACTCACCTCTGCAGTCCCCTCCTCCCATTCCCACTTGAACTTGCTCCAAACAAGATTTCACTCCCCACCACTCCATTAAACATGCTCATGTCAAAGTCAGCAATCTCCCGGCTGCTAAAAACAGCAGCCAGTTCTCAGTCCTGAAGGGACTTGACTTATTGGAAACATTTGACACAGTTAACGCTTTCTTTACTTGGGCTTCTGGTCACCCTACCCTCCTGGTTTTCCTCCTATCCCCCAGCTATTGTTTCTTAATCCTCTTTGCTAGTTTAACCCCAATTGCTAAACATTAGAATGCCCTATAATTCCATCTGTAAACATCTTCTCTGTCTATACTCACTACCTTAGTTATCTGACGTAAGATCTTCTGACAACTCTAAATTTCTGTCTTGGATCCCAGACTTACCCCCTGAAATTGTGTACACTACCTCCCACCGGGCTCTCTACTTGGATGTGTAATCAGCATCTCTGACTTGGTATGTCCAAAACAGAAGCCCCTGAGCTAACCCCACACACCTGCTCTTCCCACAGTCTTCCCATCTCTTAAATGGCAAATCCATCTTTCTTGTTATTTGGGCTAAAAACCTTTAAGCCATCCTTGGCTCCTGTCATAGTTTGCTAGTGCTGTTGTTGTTGTTGTGTACCATTGAGTCAATTCTGACTCACAGCAACCCTATAGGACAGAATAAAACTGCCCCACAGGGTTTCCAAGGCTGTAATCTTTACAGAAGCAGAGACACACAACTTTCTCCTGCAGAGCAGCTGGTAAGTTCCAACCACCAACCTTTTAGTTAGCAGCTCTTAACCACTGTGCCACCAGGGCTCCTTCTTGCTAGTGCTGCCGTAACAGAAATATCACAAGTGGGTGGCTTTAAAAAACAAAAATTTATTGTCTGATAGTTGAGGATGCTAGAAGTCTGAATTCAAGGTGTGGCTCTAGGGAAAGATCCGTCTTTGTCTATTTCAGCTTCTGGTAGCCAGCAGTCCTTGGAGTTCCTGGGCTTGTAGATTTGTCTGCCTCCGTTGTCATCAGATAGCATCTGTCTTCCCCCGTTTGTGCTTGCTTGTCTCTGCTACTCTTTCTGTCACTCAGAAATGATTAGGTTCAGGACATCCCTATACCAAATAAGTTCACATCCATAGGTATAGGGGTCAGGACTCCAACACATATTTGGGGTGGGGGGGCACAATTCAGTCTGTAACAAGTCCTCTTCATCGAATCCATCAGCAGATTCAATCAGCTCTGCCTTTAAAATAGATCCAGAATAGGCCCACTGCTTACACCTCTACTGTTAACTACATGACTTGAGCCAGCCTCCTCCTGCCTTGGTGTTTGCAGCAGCCTCCTGGCCGGTCTCCCTGTTCCTGTCATATTGTCTCTCCTCCACACAGCAGTGGAGGGATCCTGTTAAACATCCACTGGATCATGTCACTCCCAGACTGACAGACTGAGCCTTCCAGGGCCTCCCATCTCAGAGCAGACAGGGCTGGTGACTTCATTTTTTGCAGAGCCCAGTGTAGAATGAAAATCTGGGGCCCCTTGTCAAAAAGCAGGAAAAAAGTGCTCCTAAAGGTGCAGAAATAGAGAGCTTTTTCCCTTCTTCTGTGGTCTCTGTCTCAACTTGTCATGGTGTTTTTTATTTGTTATTTAATGTCTTCCCAAGTAAAGAAAGGTTGGCAGTTTGAACCCATCCAGTGGCTTCATGGGAGAATGACCTGGCAATCTGCTCCCCTAAAGATTACAGCTTAGAAAATCCTAGGGGGGTAGTTCTACTGTGTCACGTGTCACGTGGGGTCGCTTTGAGTCACAATTGACTTGACAGCCCCTAACAACAAGTAAAGAAAACCTAACATTCTAAATTAATAGCATGAATTTTACCATTCATTTTTACATTGTGCATTGCCAGTTTTAAATGCAAATATAAGAGCATTTAATGCATATGTGGAATCATTGAAATTACCCAATTTGTATTTTGCAGCTCCTGCATGCATATGTATTTCATTCTTACCAGGAGAGGGGAAACACTGCACGAAACTAACTTACCTGCTCTTGTTTCACCTCTTGATACACACGCATTCCATCCACACTTTACCTTCGGTTTAAAGGAAAAGGAACTCGGGGTTGCCCTATCTTTCCCTTTCCTTCTGTCATCACTGTCCACATAAGTGGTTGGCTAATACAGGGAAGTAACACAAGTAAGGGTTCCACATCATTCATATTTCTCAGAATTCCATTGCCTTCTTTTGGCCTTCGAAGCAAGTTCTGGTTGAAGTGAAAACATAGCCTCTCGGGGCTATCAGCGCCCTCCACTTACTCACTCGTAGATATAATACACCTTATACTCTGGGCCTCACTAAACTCTTAGGCATTGAGAGCCCACTGGAATTCTGTTGCCCGTGGAACATCGATAATGTTGTCTGTGAACGGGGCGACAAATAACGGGGACATGCAGTTTGTGTGTGTGTGTTTCCTCTGCTCATAGTCACGTTCCCTTGGCCCATCAGACCCCACAAAATGCAAGTTCAAAGATAAAATTATTAAGAATTTCAAGACAGCAGAGCAGGTTGCACACCCATGACTCTGGCCCTGCCTCCAGTCGGGCCTCCACTCTCAAACTTCAGCTACTACCATTTTCCAGCCCAGGCCACTCAACTCCAGCTCTGCTGGCCTTCCCACTATGTTTCCAAAAGGCCAGGCTCAGGGTCTTTGCCCTCATTTCTTCTGCTGGGGCACTTTGCCCCCCACTAGCGACATGGCTTGCTGTCTCATGACTTTCTAGTTTTTGATCAAATGTCACCTTCTCAGTGATACATTCCTTGAACACCCTACATAAAATTGTACACGCTTTCCCCCACCCTACCCACCCCTTTCATTACCTTATACCTTTCTCAGTAGTGCTTATTCCCATCCGATAGGCTGTATGTTTTACTTCTTGTTTACTGTCTGTCTCCTCTCACTAGAATGTGAGCTCCATCAGAACAGTGATTTTTGTCCACTGCTGTAGTTTTTATGTCCAGTGACTTTGTCCAGTTCCTAGACCAGGGCCTAGTACATAATAAGTGCTTAGTAATATTTATTGAACAAATGAGTGACTGCTAAGTGAAAAATAGTATCTCATTTTATTTTATATTTCTTTGATTATCAGTAAGGAGTATCATCATGTTTATTGGCAATTTGTGTTACTTGTGAACTTCTTATTTGTGCTCATTAATGATTTTATGTAGGGCTTTGGGTTGAGTGTGGCTTTGATAAGTAGAGTTCAGGGTGCTAGTAGGATAGCCAGATAGACCTAAACTATTAGTTCCTGAGAGTGTTCATTTGTAAATCAGTCTAGAAATAGCAGTCATTAGGATTCCTGTGGTGTTTCAGGTGTCGTGGGGCCTTGCAGAGCACAGCTTTATCCTCCCTGAAGTGCATCTCTAACGGTTACTTCCCAGCATTCTTCCAACACTTTTCATGTATTTTTAATGTACTTTTTTGTCTCTCAGGATTACGGTGAGGGCTCTGGTGCTGACTGTAGACGCCATGTCCAAAAATTAAATCTGCTGCAGGGACAGATTTCAGAGATGTTACTCAGGTACAGTTGTTTGAGAGGGGTAAGGTTCTCTTGCCCTGTTTTCTTCTTGAGTGGATCCTGGAAGTATACAATGGAGAAATCTCTTAGATTTCCATGTCTTACAATATGGCAGATTAGATACCCTGAATAATCCTCCCACTGAAAATAACAAAAATACTGGGTACAATTTTTTTAATGCACTGATGAGCTGGTAAGAAAGTATGTAACCCTCAAAGGTGAAAATGAAGCAAGAGCCAAAATCCAGAGTGAGCACTTGAGCTGCTGGGGTAATTGAAGCCTGGTGTTCTGGAGCTTCCACGTGGATAACAGTGAGGGGTGCCGGAGACAAGAGACGAAGCCTAGGGCCCATTTAGTGTGGGAAGTCTAGTAGGAGCGCCCCCCCCAAAGCCAAGTCCCCGAAGGACTATACCCTCAGTGTACAAACAAACTAGAAATACACCCACCCACAGCAGGGAGCTCACCTGTCTCAACCTTGGCAGTGACTGGAGAGGGGAAAATATCTCTCCAAGACTTTGTAAGCAAAAGGGAGCTGTCACATGGTTTTTCAGCTTTTTGCAAGTCCTGTGTGAGAAGCCTTAAGCCAAGAATTTATTTTTAAATTGTCCTAGGTGGCAAATGCAAGGAGCCCTGGTGGCACAGTGGTTAAAATGCTCAACTACTAACTGAAAGGTCAGCAGTTCAAAACCACTAGCAGCTCCGCTGGCAAAAGATGTGGCAGTCTGCTTCTGTAAAGTTTTACAGCCTTGCAAACCCTACAGGGTCGCTGTGAGTCAGAATCAACTCGATAGCAGTGGGTTTGGTTTTTTTTGTAGGCAACAAATGCAGTTCCTCTATAGAACAACAAATCTTCTACACAGGCCTCAAAGTATCCCACAGATAAATTTCCAAGGAGCATAAGCTCAGTGTTAAAAATCATTAAACACTCAAAGAAACAAGTCAGTATGAGCAAAAGACAGCAAAAACAACAGACAGAAAAGTCAGACTGACATAGACTTCAGAATATATAATACTGTATGTTTAATATATTTAATGAAATAAAAGAAGGGGATGATAATATAAGGAGCAAGGGACTGGGAAAAATAGCCAATCAGATTTGAAAAAGAATCTATAAAAATGAAAAATGTAATCATTGAAATTAAAAATCCAATAGAAAAGTTAAACAGATTAAACACAGTTGAAGAGAGAATTAGTGAAATGGAAGGTAAATCTGAAGAAATTATTCACAATGCAGCACAGAAAGAAAAAGGAGGAAAATCTGAGGGGAAAGTTGAGAGACAGGGAGGATACAGAGAAGAGTTCCGGCAAGAGAGAATGGGGCAAAGGTAATATTTGAAGAGATAAGAACTGAAAGACATACTACTTTTTATAGATAAAGAAACTGAGGTAGTGGTGCCCACATATGGTGGAGTTTGGGGTTCTTATGCTTCCCTAGAAAGAGGGCCAGTTTGATCATGTGCTGTAACAGCCCTGTATGACATGGATGGATGTGGCCTTTGGTCCTAACCTCAGTCTTCACATCATAAATATTTCCACTGGCCCCCCAGCCCCACTCAAGACCATAGAGGCTCTGGCCCCTTGCTGTCTGCTGTATTTGGTCAAAGAGCCCTACTGTCGTCCCCTAGCAGGCCAGATGAATCACTGTGACAAATCAAGCTTAGTAACATTCCTTCTGCTCTCGGGTAGTGGTCGAGCAATTGTAAAGAGTCTTTTATGACCCTGTCTGATGGGGACATCTCCACCGTGGATGGCAGGAATGCTCAGCTGACATTACTCTCGGTGTACCAGGCCCAGAGCAATGTATGCCCACATATATTACCTCATTTCACGGTCACTCATGCAGTCTTATCACCATTGTGGATGAGGAAACTGAAATACAGGAGGGTTAAGTGGTGTGTCCAAAGTCATATACACGCAGCTAGTCACTGGCAAAGCGAGAATGCAAACTTTGGTCTCTGGCTAGAGAATCTTCATTTTCTGCTTGTGTTTATTTCCTATTGACATAGGGCTTTCCCAGCCTCAGTCCAAGGAAACAAACAGTTCCTCCGGCCCAGGCCTTCTCAACTGCTAGAAGATTATGGAATCACTTCAAAACAGCAGAATTCCTAAGATTCCCCAAAACAGTCTTGATAGCCATTATCAAGTTCTTCCATCTTTCCTGGTTGTTTTACAAAGAACATGTGTACAATCTTTCCCTAAGGTCTCTGGAAGAACCTGTAAATGCCAGTGAAGAAGAAAGTGCAGGTCATCAGCAGGCTGAAAACGTGAGTCTGCAGGTAAGCCAGAAGCATCTGTCTCAAGCCTAGGCTGGGAGTGAGTGGTTCTGTGTAACTTAAGGGGCTCCATTTATTTGCTCACTAGTCATTTGTTCAACAAACACTGATGCCATTGCATGACACGTACTTTTCTGGAAGCTACAGGGAACACAAAAATGAATAAGCCTGTCCCTCTTGTAAGGGTGGAGACAGGCATGAGTACAAACATTACAGTACTCTGTGAGGACTTTTTCTTCTGTCTGCTTGGAGAACTCCTCCTTCTGAACTTAGTTTGAACTTCACCTCCTTCGTGTTTCCTCCCCTTGGTTCCCACAGCACTGGGCATACCTCCGATAGGGGAGGGATGCTGTTGTGGAGTACCTGAATTTCCACTTTCCCTTTCTACCAGACTGTGAGCTTCCAGAGAGTGGGGATCACATCTGGTTGTTCTTTGTCCCCAGTGCCTAGTGAAAAGGCTGGCAGAGAAGTGCTCAAAGTACTTTTTTGCATCCTAAAGTTTTCACTTATATTATTCTCCTATGTTGCTTTGTAGTCTTCAGTGACCTTCGTTTTTAAAAAGTTCTACAGAATATTTCAATTAGTGGATGTGCCAATATTTATTCCCTTATTATGGGGTGTTTAGGTTGTTTCCAAATTTTTGCTATGATAAATAATATTTGCTCTTGTTTATAACACTTTGATTAGCATCTCTGTGCCTTTTTTCTTCTTTCATAATCACTGGGTCAGGGAGCATGGACGTTTTTTAGGTTCTCTGCATGGTTTCTGCTGAGTAGTCTGAGCTTATTCTTACTGACTCTCCTTTGTAGATGACTTTTCGTTTATCCCTAGCTGCTCTTAAAATTCTTTTTCTTTGGTTTTGGCAAGTTTGATTATATCTTGGTGACTTTCTTTTGGAATCTACCTTATGTGGGGTTCAATGAGCATGTTGGATAGGTATCTTCTCATCTTTCACGGTATCAGGTAAGTTTTCTGCCAACAAATCTTCAACAATTCTCTGTATTTTCTGTTATCCCCCCTGTTCTGGTACTCCAATCATTCGTAGGTTATTCCTCTAGATAGAGTCCCACATAATTCTTAGGGTTTCTTCATTTTTTTAAATCCTTTTATCTGATTTTTCCTCAAATAAGTTGGTATCAAGTGCTTTATCTTTAGTCTCACTAATTCTGACTTCTGTTGCCTCAATTCTGCTTCTATAATTTTCTATTGAGTTGTCTAATTCTGAAATTTTATTGTTAATCTTGTGGGTTTCTGATTGCTGTCTCTCTGTGGATTCTTACAGCCTGTTAAATGTCATTATGCTCTTCTCTAATCTTTTTAAGTTCCTCTATTGTGTGTTCTCCGTTTTACGTAATTTCCTTCCTGATCTCTTGAAAAGTTCTATATATTAATCTTTTGTATTCTGCCTCAGGTAATTCCAAGAAATTTTCTTCCTCCAGAAAATTTCTAGATTCTTTATTTTGGGAGCTTACTGAAGCCATCATGGTCTGCCTCTTTATGCAATTTGATGTTGACTGTTGTCTCTGAGCCATCAATAAGTTATTATATTTATTTATTTTATGTTTGCTTACTGTGTCCTAGCTTTCTGTTTTGTTTTGTTTTG